TCATAAATCCTCAAAAGGAAATAAGTGTTGGAACCCACGAGGATCTCGATATGCACAAATCACGGACAAACATTCAACAAAAACCTATGCGCAGCGGATCTAAAGGTTTGATGTAGAAAACTTACTGCTTAAAATTTATGCAGATCTGGCTGGCCCGAACAGTTGACCGCAAATCAAATCTTCTCGGAATCGAACAAACTTGACCAATCCAGAAAGCTGACGTCACGGCGAAGTCAACGACGTTGACCTATCAGAAATCGGACTTCTCACGCGCTCGCACGCGCGACGACAAACTCCAGCAACTGCTTCCTTGCGGCGGCGCGTGGCGGCGCGTGCGGCAGAGTCCGGCGGCGATCTCGACGGCGATCTCTTCGTTTCGTCGTCCTGGTCGTTGTGGTATGGTCACTTGCTCGTTTTGGTCTCCGGTTTGGATGTATGATTAGAATCTCTATATACCTTAAGATCTTCTACTGTATTCTCAAACAGCTTTCTAGATCTTGTATCAGTGGAACACAAGAAATAGAAGAACTCCTAGGAAGAGAGAGAAAGAGAGCTGGACGCAATTCCCAAGGTGTGGGATTCTGTTCTACTCTTCCATGAGCCTAATGCTGTATATATAGAGCTACAGTAGGGACCCTAAGGAGAATAGGATAAGGGCTTCTAATATATTAATACTGTGGAGCAACCCCACAATTAATATATTAATAATATTAAAGTCCACCACAATAATATTATTGCACTCCCTTCATGTAACACCCCTCCTTATCGTTAAAATCAGAGTGCGAAAATTTCGCAAAGTTATTTAAAAATAAAACCTTTTACTTTGCGAAAACTGATTCGGGGTGATACCTTAAAATCGTGACTTAATTTGGAAAACCGTTATTTTAATTTTTAATAAAATCATACGGTTACTAAAAGTATAAAATTTTCCAAAAGTCCGTCAAAATATAAATTCGTCAAAAGTCATCAAAAACATCGTCAGCGGAAGCGTAAATCATCATAATAAATATACAGTCAAAACATAAATGTCCTGAAGCCTCCGTCACGTCACGCTCCCTGCCCGACATCCTGACCTGAAAAAGATGATAAAAGTGGGAAATGAACACTATGGCACTGTGCTCCGTGGAAACTCATACTAATGTAAACATTGAAAATAATAATAACATCATGATATCAGTATATACATAACCTCAACCTCAAGCCGATAATAACATGAACATGAATCTGAAATCGTCACGCAACCGTGACCCTGACCGTTACCTCATCTGCCGGAAAAAACTAATGCCGGACACCATGTGCACACTCTAGTGGGCAGACTAGGGCCACTAGAACCCAGAATGGACCGGCGACCATTTTGAGCGGATACCTCAACTGAAATACATACCTCAAACATGGTACCATAATTATAATCAATGTAGTACTTAGTCTGAGTCCCCACCTGAACTGCTGAAACTGATCGGTAGTGCTGATGCCTGATCAAACTGAAAATAATATAAACAATTACTAATGACTATGCTCAGACTGTTAACTTAACTGATTAATTTCGTTAAGATGCTCTACTGAACTTAACATGATATTTAGACTTAACCGGAATAACCGGAACTGAACTGACATGAACTGATTGGACATGAATTTACTGAACTGAAATAATCCCAGAAATTTAACTGAAAATATCATTAAAATCATGAACCGGGCTGAAACCTTAACATAAGAACCGAATCAAATTAACATGGGGCTGAACCGGTCCAGCAGGTCTGAACCGGTCTGGATCGGACCGCCGGTCTGCTGAGCCGGGCGGTTGGTCGCTGGCTCGGCCAGCGGCCTGCTGAGTGCAGCGCGCACAGGCGCTGACTGACATGACTGGCACCGTGCAGCACTGCCGTGCGCTGCCCACGGTGCTGGCTACTCGGGCGGCCTGCTGGGTGTTGCCGAGGCCACTGGTGTGTGCGACGCTGCGTGCTGGCGGATACTACCGCACGTTGGCGTGCTCGACTGGGTTTGGTAAGTGCGTACGTGCATTGCCAACCACTGACTGCCGTTACAGGCGCTATGTGCCGCTGCCATGGCATGCACACACGCACTGGCAGCCCGTACTGCTTGACTGCCGGCACGCACAGCCGCTATGTGCGGCAGCGTGTATACGTCCGGCCCTTGCCGGCCGTCCGGCGACTAATCTCGACACTTTAACTTCAAATGACATGACATGAACATAACTACTGAATTAATCGTGAAAACATGAATTTTGCATGAAAAACTGGACTCGGCCGCGGTGGGCGCACCGTGTGCCGCCAACGGCGATAAGCCGTTTTACGACCAAACTGACTTTTCTCTCGGCAATTCCAACTCAACTGAACATGAAATATAATTTACTGAATAAATGGACATGAAATGCACGGAGATCTGCTACTTAATATAAACCACAACCACGCTCGGCCCGTGGTGCGCGCTACATGCGCGACCATGTCCCTTGGCCGAAACACCGAGCAAACATGAACATTTTTCTGAACACAAGACCTTAACTGAACATGAACAACATGTGGGGACTGATTATATAACAATTACTCGAGAGAGTACACAACAAACATGCACACTCTCGCTATAGCCGCACGCACGGCCGTACGGCTTAAAGTCGTTCATGAACATAATTAAATCAATCGGAGCTAACATGACTTAACAAAGGTAAACTATTGTTACCTCCTCTAGTACCTGGCTGATCGCTCTAATTGTTCGGGACAATCGGAGCCTCCGTGCGTGCGCGTTGTTCTCGGTGGTGGTGTGCGGTGCGGTTGCTATAAGCTTCTCGCGTACGGTGTTCGTGCTATTAGCTTGCGGTGCGTATTATGGTAGCTACTTAAATTAGGAAAAACTCTCAATTTCCTGTCTTTCCCTCATAAATAATACTCAGCACACACACATATATGCACGTACATATGCTAAAGACATGGGAAAAATGATGATGTAGGGTGTATGTGTTTTATTCTCCTTGTGCCAATTGTCTCAAACTTTGTGGTTTAATTAAAATTAGTCATCTCTTAACCCCTCTTAAGGTGCCACGTGTAAGTACTTGGAGATGAAGAAATTGATCCCTTGACTTGAAGGATGCCCGCAGTATAACCTTGCACCCCTTTATCCTCTCCCATGAGAGCAAAATCCTCGCGTCTGCCGAGAATCTCAGCTTTAATGCTTCTTTATCCTCATTTATTGGGGGTAACCAGTGTAATCAGGTTTATCCTTTAATTTTCTTTAGCTTCTGGTTTCAGCTCGTCGTGTTAATTAATTCTCCCCCCCCCCCTTTCTTTTGGTCCTTTTAGGGTTTTTTCTTTTATTTCCCTTCGATTCTTCTCCTGTTTGTCTCTTTCTGTTCTATCTATTTTCTGCAGATTTCTGATCCTTCCGCTTAGGGCTGCTGAGTTCTGAGTTCATGGCTGACGATCTAGCCAACAAATTGGGAGTTTTCCAACTCTCGGAGAATGAAGCAAACATTATCAATATCGCAAATGATGATATCCTTCGAAGTGAATAGACTGTGAGAGAAGCCTGCTGGGGAGAATAGTTGGTCAGAAAAAATCCGGCATTATAGGGTTGCGCAGGGCAGTGAATCAAATGTGGTTAATTCGAGCTCCGGTTACGGTGCGAGAAATCAGCTCAAACTTTTTCCAGTTTGTATTTGCCAACAAAGAAGACAAAGAAAAAGTTCGAAATGGGAAATGCTGGACCTTTGAAGGTCAATTCCTAATCCTTAGGGATTGGAGAGAAGATTCATCCCCAGATCATGCAGAATTTCAGGAGTTAGACATTTGGGTGCAAGCTTGGAACATCCCGTTAAATTGGATGGCTGCTGAAGTTGGACTTAAAATCGGAAAAGCATTCAAAAAGATTAAAGATGTCCAAGTGCCTTAAAGTGGATCATTAGCAGGGAAATGCATCAGACTTTTGATCTCTATGGACATTCTTCAACCTATCATCAGGTGTGCTACTGTTCAACTGGGCAACAAGAAGATCATTGTCCAATTCAAGTATGAAAAGCTAGTAAGCCTGTGTTATTACTGCGGGATTTTGGGGCATATAGACAAGAACTGCTCAGCTAGATCAGAAGACATCAACTTGAACAAGCTTCAAGAGGGCAAATTTGGGGAATGGCTCAAAGCTCCTGAACATTTTTTCTCAAACCACTTGAATCAAAACACCAACTCTGGTGAACCTCATTTTGGCAGTAACTCAGTAGCCAAAACTCCTGCTGAGTCTGAACCTGATCATATCCAGACCAACTCGAATCAATCTAAAGCTCAACCAGAAAATCAATCCAACCCCAATCTTCACCCTCAATCCTTGTCCCATCCCATTGTCATTCCCCACCCCCTATCTTTAGCTATTCGAAACCCAGATATCCAAACTCCTCCTCAACCAATGGATACAGAAAACCATCTCCCTCTCCAACCTTTTAACCCTTCATCTTCTGATCTTAATCCTCATACCAATGATCAACCCAACCAAACTCCCCGCTCTGATCCAATCAAACCCTTACCTTCTTCTGAACCTATCATTCCTAACCTTAACCCCCCCTTGACCACCCACCCAAAAATTGTTTTACCTCAGCAAAAAACCAGGGGTTGGAGGAGAAAGCAAATCCCAGCCTCTCCAATCATCCCTAAACCGAAACCAAACAAAGGGAAGAGGAACTTTCAGGCTCTTACCCTCTCAAAAAATCCAGATAATCCTCTAGATTCTCAGCCAAGTATCCAGAATAAGAAACTGAAAGCAGTCCAATCACAGGTGAAAGTGGCCAGCCTTCAAGGGCCACAAGGTGATCAAT